TCCCCTCTGTGTATATAAATTTTAATATTGTTTTATATAATATCTTTAATTTTCAATATACATGAACATACTTGATTCTAAGCGATATATATTTATCTGGTATTAGTCCATCTGTTCCATTTAGTGCTCCGTGCCACCAATCATTAGATACCTGCAAATATTGATATTAACTCCTCTAATATTATATAATCCAAGACATACCTGTTTTCGTAAGATTACAATATCTCCTTTTCGAATTGATAATTCGCGATTCGATCGTGCTTTAAAATCGAACTGAACTGTGGCTTCCAGAGTTTCTGATTCTGCACAAGAGAAGAAATTTTGATATACTTTATTTATTAGTCTTGAGTTAATATTTTTAACATATATACTGCGGACTGGAATGATTTCAAATGCTCTTAGTCCTTAGCTCTCATTTGAGAATGTATGGAATATTTCGAGACTTTCGTTAAAAAATAATTAGTTATGTATTGTGTACAGTTACATGAGAAATGTCTATTGATTACAGCTTTTTTTTTAATTCTTACCATCTTCGGAGGGGCAAATTTCTGAGTCCGGATCTTCGGTCACATTATCAACAGGGGATTCACCAACAAAACTATAGATTTGGTGAAGTCGTTAGTATAACTGATAAGATTGAGTAAATATACATCTTACATATCCATGAAAGGTTCGTGAGATATATATTTTTCGTATTCCAAGCCTACTAAATCAGGCGGAAAAATATCATCGTGGTATAATATCATACATTTAATAAGCTCGTTTATCTGATTTTGGTATTGAACTTGATCTTTATCTTCCGGCGCAGGCATGAGGGTCGGACCGAAGCAAATAGCTAAATTAAATGCATCCATCATGTTTTCATCCGCATATTCCGATAGACTATAAAAAAATCGTTATCACAGTTATACAATAACAATATAATAATTTTTTTAAACTTACTGATTTAGAAAAGCGAATAAATAACGAATAACTATTAAAACCGTTGGAGAAAGATTGCTTAAAAAATTTCTTATTGCTGTTATGATATCCTCTTTTGAACGTATTTCTAAAAACACAAATAAAACAATATTTATATAGCATCATTTTCAGTCACTCAAAAAAAAAATTGAACTCAAATACCTGCAATAGACACAAAATGTTCGAAATATACTATAGGAAACAATGGCTCCCTCAATTCTCGCAAGTACAGCTTTAAAAGCCCAGCAACGGAATTAATATCCGACGCGTCATTTGTATCTGCAAGCGGATCTTCGCCCCTTTCAAATGCTTCTCGAAAATTTGAAATTTCCACTTGGGAACCGGAAACTCTAAATATTCCTTGATGATGTAATCCTGGAATAATATTTTGAAATAATTTATAAGTTTACAACTAAAATCGTTGGTTATTTCTTACCATATAAATTAATGACACGTATGCAGCTACGCATAACGAGTGGTACTTCCTCGTTGGTAAATTCTAAATATTCTTCTAAGGAACCGCCAAATAATTTTGGTTGGCCAGTAATATTAACACGTCCAATTCGCTTCCGGGTTGATGTTATGACTTTCGTTTGAGAAGGTAAACAACATGAATTGTTCTTAACTAAAACATTTCGTATAAATTCAGCCTTTGCGCTTAAACGTGCTATGCGTGAAGTTCCGTTTATATATTCTCGAATTTTCTACAATAACAATAATAATTTATCTGAAGAAAATGTTTTCTACAACTTACCATTATGTAATAATCTTCGATGTCCTGCTTTTCAGCTTTTAACTTAGGCGTAATATTGCTGTTGGGTGTCTTATGTATATAGAGTTTACCTTCAGTGAAAATATCGCTGGTGTCATTGTCCTTGTTATTATAATGTTCCAAGAGTTTCGTTTCAGCAGTCTCGAGTGACTTCCAAACTTCGTCGCATTCTATACGAAGATCTCGCAACCGTTGACCTAAAGTTTCTAATCTTTGTTCCATATCTAAATGTAATTCTTTTTTTATATCCACTTCAATTATTTCAGTCTGATCTTGTTGGTATTGCAACTCTAAACGTTTAGGTATTATAAATGCTGCATGATGGTGTTCTAAAAATTTTTGCTTATCAGCTCGACAATCGATCGAGTGTATTAAATGTGAGAGATTATCTGCTTGTTGAAGAATTGCCCTTGATCGACCCTGGTCTGCCGAAACATGCATTAATATCGCTTTGGAAATCATTGATCCAAATCCAAGATCCATACACTAATGAAAAAGTGAACCTTATTAAAGATAAGTGTTATTAAAGATTAATGTATCTTACATCTATTAGATCACACAAATCTTCCACAAAATATTTATGTATGGTAGTATTTGAAGCTTCCAAACATAACTGGTATTCAGTTTTAGCTTTTAGCGCTTTCAGTCTTGCATCTTTATATTTTGTATCCCTCTGAAATTAAAGACAAATGTTTTATATCTCTATTACAATAACAAAAATAACTTGATTAAAATTTTTGCTTTACCTTGACTATTTCTTTTTCGGTAAGTTTATATTTCTTATTCCGGTCCAGTTTTTCTTTTGCAATTGTCTGCTCTAATTTTTTTCTCTGGGATTCTGCAGTAACCAACTTTAGCTTAGCTGATTTACATTCACTCTACAGAAAAAATATAGGTACATCATTATTAAATATTATAAAAATATCTTAATTCATGATCCGTCTAACCTCGTATCTTTGATAAGTTTTCATTGTCGTATGAAGTTCTTGAAGTAAATGTTGAATATCTTCGTGAATTTCATATCCTATTAATTTAACCTATTTAGAAATTACGAAAATAAAATTCACATTAGTAAAAACATAAAGAACTACTTATCAATTAATATTTTCACCTTCTTATATATCCTCTGAACATCTTCAATAGTGGTCTGTAAACTTGCAACAATACTTATGGAATATAGGTCGGCCAATATTGCGTGATCTTTTGATAAAGACTGAGTTTCCTTAACTAAATGTTGCCAACACGCAAACGTCGAAAATATTGGCCAGTGATCTCTTCTAAAATAAAAAAAAAAAAACGTTAAAATTCAAATTAAATTCGATAAATTAATATGGATATAGAATTAAAAATTTCGGGCCTGATTGACCAATTATGCCAACTACATAAAGCATTTATAGAATGCAGTTTAAAAAAAACTCAATTTTTCTTCCTATACTACAATGTATACACATTAGGTGGAATAAAATGATTTTTTTAAAGTACTTTTGTTTCTGTTCCTTGTGTTTTAAGAGCAATCCACGTGCAAACTTCTCTAAGCTTTTACTGTAGTCTAACTCTAATTCCCCACGACGGCGAAAGAAATCTTGTATTTCTTGAATTAATCCAATTTGTGACTCCACTCTGGTATCAAGACAACGTAGTTGTTCATTAAGTTGCTGACGAATACCTAGAAATATTAATAGATTCGGCATAAATTACTTTAATTAAATTGCGTTGGAGTTGTTTTAAGCAAAGAAAATGGTAAAACAAAAATTACTTCCTACAGTTGTCCAAATTACGTTACGTCAATTACAATTAATAGTCACAACAAAGGTTTGAAATAAATGTGATATTAATACTTCTAAAATACTTTTTAAATTACTTACTACTGAACATAACGATCTTTCTTGTAGATCCCACTCTTTTCATTGGGCTCTTTATATCCTGATCCTTTTCACCCATCTTTATATGATCATCAAAATCTAAAATATATAAGAAAAAAATTAATTCTTATTTGTATATTCGAAGAATATACCTATCGGTCTAAAAAGATAATTGGCAACTCTACATAGGACATACAGACAAAATCATTTCACTCCTCCTTTTTTATAATCTTTAAATCTTTGCATAAATAGTAATAATTTCCTGCTACTACTATTACGGGTACAACATACATATACGTAAATAATTAGATTAATGAATTTAACAAAACGAATTATGGGTAAACAAAACAAAGAAATTACAAATATTGTAAACAATTCAAACCGGTTCATCCCATAATGCAATGTAGTATTAGTAGCCTTTTAACCAAGAGTACAAACAATGAAATTGTCGATTATTTTTTAGCTATTATTAAGTTATTACTTTTCGAAAATTAAAACAAATAAATCACTGATTTCCTAGAATAGACTTACGAATCTTAGGAATATGTATACGCTTCTAAAATTGTTTTTACGATAGCGTCATATTAGTGTGATACCAAACACGATATGGAAAATGAAACATATTTGACCTGAAGAACACTACAGAAGGTATTATATATTTATTGATTTTTATAAAATATGTATTTAATAAAAGAGGAGACAACTGCCGTAGACCACATATTTAACTACATTCTTTGAATTTCTTTTCATATCATATAGTTCACGTTCCCAAATTCGTGGACGCAGTGTACAAAAATATATTTTACTAGCTAAATTTTACTCTTATTTATTTTATTATTTTTTTTTTTTTAATATTTCCATTAAGTTATGAATATTTACATATATTTCCAAAAATAATGTAATATTTGTTTGAAACCGAAATTCCGATGTGTCCCCTCTTCCTCGCTTTGCCCTCAAAATTTGGTTTGATCGACAAAATTAGTGCATGTGGGAACGTATTTTCCTTGTAAGCTTACACTAGTATATGTAGATGCTAGTATTTACAAAGAAGTAATGGCAAATAGTTGGTGTACTTACATTCTTGATTCTTGCGAATTTGGTGTTTGAAAAGTTGCGTTAAATTGTAAACAATTTTATTTCTTAAAAGAAATATTTCTTATATTAATCAAAAGGAACTAATTCTTAAGACAAGCTGTACATATCGGTATCAACTGGCAATCATTTGGGCTACGCAGAGAATAATGCGTTGCGCTGTAAATATATATTTCGATTTTGGAAAGTTACGTATTTAAAAAGAAGTTGAAATTCTTTGAACCTCAATCAGTTCTTCTAGTGGATGATAGCTTTGTAACTTTTGAAGAAATATTTCAAAGGGCTGTGCAGGAAGATGTAAACTTCATTTTATTCAGATGCGATTTATTTCACGATACAGTTCCAGAAGTTTGTGTATGTATGTTTTTTTTTTATGCATGAATTAGTTTTTTGATTTTGTTACAYTGAATACTGCTGAGTGTTATTTAAGTTAAATATTTTTGTGTATCTTTTTATATTCTTTTCACCATTTTCTAAAATACTCTAATTATACTATGCATATTTCTATAATACTACATACAAAAATTAGATAACAAAATGTAATTTTCTGAACATTTCGTACATATTGCGATTAAAATCGATTGGGGACTAACGGTATTTTAATTTTCGGCTCGTTATCGATAGTTTGTTTTGACTATCGGTGGTTTATGCCTTAACTTACCAACACTTTCCAAAAAAATATAAAATTGTACTTAATAAAGCTACATAATAGGAGGATTCTCTTGCTCTTGCAAAACCCTTGCATGGTGCACGTATTGTACGAAGTTTAGAATTTTCCAATTGGTGCAACGGTGCAAAAACAACATAATTGGGCCAGCTGTTATTTTACATAAAGACATATTTGAATGCAGAAGGTGCGCCAATTCCCAATGTCATTCACAATAAATTAACCAAATCAGGTGCTCAAAAATCCGTTAAAAACGGTGGAAAAATAAACATTGAAAAACAACCCCATTTTATTTAGTACTCCTGATTTTTGAATATTAAATTATGTAATTGAAACATATTATGTGATCATTCTTTCATTATCGAATTTCACAATGTACATTTATAAATACTCATGTATATATGTATATACCATGATTCAGTTATGAAAGATTGATTAGTATCAAAATCTCGTTCGTTCATTTACTAATTTATTTTAACAATGAACAAGGCAATCAACCTGCTGGTCACAGACTACGCCCCACCTACTTATATCGCCTGGATGCAACAGAATACAGTTTAAGGAGAACTGCTAAAATATCGCGCTCTGAACATGAAAAAATGGCTCTTGATGGTTCCGATGGAAGATTTCCACATCGAGGTTAAATGTTCCCCATCACAGAGCACATAGCATACCTCCTATTTACTTATTTTACATACTCATACCCAACATTAAAATCAAAGAAAAATCTTGAGGGTCACAATTATCTACATTCCATCTCAATTTACAATATGTAAAGAATTAAATTATTTGTCCATTTTAAAAACTAATTGTCTGTCATTTCGGCATAGTTGGTGGCTTAGAGGATTTAATAATCCGATGGCCTGGTGCTGAGGGTGAGAGACTCAGTGGGGAGGGCATATCATGACGTTTATCTTGTATTGATAAAGGAAGAAATTGTTGTTGGCGCTTCTTGTTCAAGTTGCTTATATTGTGATTATTTTCGCTTTTCCCAAAGAGAATAGCTAAATGAACTGCACAAAATAAACCCAAGCTCTGAAAAGTGAAATGGGATTAGTGAAATTTTAAATAATGTTTCAAGAAATAAAAATATTTACCTGCACAACAGCTATGGTTGCAGAACCTAATGACGTAAAAAGTAATCGATTTCTAATTTGCTCAGATACAACCGATAAACAACCTCTTTTATAATGAGTGTCACATGCAGATTCATAAGCATGTTCTGGTCGGGAGCAACAAGACCACGGCAGGGAAAGTCGACGGTAATCCAAGGGTCCGTCTACTCCGCAACACTGTAACTATAAAAAAAAAATAGGCTATAGTAACTTTTTTTCGCTGTATAGATTTGCTGAGAATTTTTACTACGGGGTAAAAAATTCCACATTTTGCTTGCCAATCAGAAAGTAAAATTTGGCAATTTAAATTCAAAACAATTCCAATAGAATTCACTACATTCGTAAAATAAATACTATTTTTGCAAAAGTACGTTGCTCTGCTAATGGAACTATTTGGATGTTGTTTTGTCTTCATTCGATCGCTTACACCAAATATAAAAAATTAATTTTTTTTTTTTTTTGTTCTTTTTTTTTTTTTAGTATGTCTGTAAATTTATTTACAGGTCATATTGMAATAAATAAATAAATAAATAAAAAATTAGGTAAATTTTATCTCTATCCCAAAATTCAAGCTTCTGATCTTTTAACATTTTTTTTCGATGAAGAACTTATTTTATATTATTATTATTTTTTTTTTCCTTAATTTTAAGTGACGTATCTATTAATTGCACTTTCACTTGCCTTAGTAGATGATTCTTCAAATTTGCTAACTGCTTTTCGTAATCACCAGAATAAGTCTATCGATTGACTATTTAGGATTGTGGTTAAAAGTTTAAATTTTTTTTTTTACATTTTAATCTTTATACGCTAACTAGGCAAATATACAATTCTATAAAAATAATTTGGTATACACATATGTATATACATATAAGACTATATATATTTATAAAGCCTTACCTGCGATTGCATACGGTTCCATAAATGCAAATTGTCCACCTTTGTCCTAGAAAATTTGTCAAGAAATTCAACAAAGGAATCATCTATAAAAATTTCCACAGATGTTGGGAGGCTCTCACGCATTGCCAACGACCAGCCACATATGAAGAATTGAATGCAAATGCACGCCACCAATGCCGCTATAAACTATAGATTTGAAAAATTAAAACAAATTTTGCCACTTTAAATAAACGCCTGTTATGGAGTAAACTATTTTCTTGTTACCGTTCCTAGTAGGCATCGTTTTCTTTGATTTGTAGCTTGACATCCCATCCAACAGAGGAGAAATGTAATTGGCCCTAAACACAATAGAATAGCAGCTGGAGCCCATAATTTATTTTGGACAATACCGTAATAACCAGAATGACCCCATAACAGAATTGTACCAACTAGTATTTGGGCAGCACCAGTTACCTGCAAATTACTATGTTATATTACGGGATGTTCGTGCATATGTACATATGTATGTATGTATAGATAATACTTTGCATATGTGATATATTTTAGGTTTGCAAGTATGTGTACAAATAAACTGGTTACGTTTTAAAACCAATGAGTACTTGACCACTAAATAATTTAGTTATTATAATTGATGATTTTTGATTTATTTAATAAAATAATATTATCAATTTATCCTTGAGTTGATTGTAGCAAATCGACCTTCAAAGTGCTTAGTACTTATTACTTTGCCATATCCAAAGAAACCTTAATATAGTTAATTTTACGTACCATTAAGAGCACGACATAGCTGTAAACTAAATATTTAAAACATTTAATCCGCTTTGTTAATGCCATATCATATGTTGACGCTTGCACTGAACGCGAACTTTGGGTGGTAATTCATTTACAAATTTAGARGAATACAATAATTATCCAATGCAAAACCTTTCGCACTCGCAATTGAGTCTATTTAAAAGTTTTCCAATCAAAAAAATCGCCTCGACATTTTGAATTATATTTTTAATACTCCAGTATTATAGTATAGTAAATCGCAAATTATATTTCAGTTTGCTGTGATTATTATGTATAAGAAAGCACGATAAGTGAAATCAGTTTGATAAACTGTTTGACTTTTCCTGTGCTTGTGTTGCTGTCCTTCAAGCTTGCTTGTTTGCACACTCACTCATTTACATATGTGCAAGTGACGTTCTTTTTAAGCTTTTCATATTATCTATAACTTTTGTATTCCAACCACAATCTAATGAATCATATACAAATGGTGCCATATTTAAAATATAAAAAAGAGGTATATGTATACATATGTACATACCTATATTGAATTTATGGATAATTTTTGAGATATATTGTATTTAATTTAAATGTTAATTACGCATTTTGAAAAAAATTAAAACTTCCTAAACCTCTATATTTCACTATAAGTTAACTAAATTAAAATACTTATTAGTCCATTCTACATTTCAATAATTAAGAAAAACAAAACAAATATTCTAATTACATATATACATATATGCATATATATTTACATATATACCTTTGTATATATGTAAATATTTATTTATTTCATTGTAATATGTTTTTAAATAAACTAATTCCATTGAAATTTGGCRATCGTACGCAAAATGTTGTCTTTGACCATAAAAACAAAAAGCTTTAGAAGTTTCAAACGCATTTCAATATCAATTTGAAAGGACTGAAAATATGCCTTTTTAAATCATAGCACAAAAAACAATGAAGATCGGAGAACAATAAAGAATTATCCACATCAAACATTTTGATCAATAAATGACAATGGTAGATGGTAGATCTTTATATTAGCTTCCATAAAGAATTTTTGATAAATATAAGAGTTTTCCCTTACAGCTCAGCCTGTGCGCTAACTTTCATTATTTCAGATCTAGGCAGAACCAACGCAAACTCAGCATCTACTTATTGGTGTGCGTGACCGTTATATACAGATGTATGAATATTTCATTAAGTTATCTAATTGTCTTATTGACTTTTCTTATTGGAAAATGAAGAAAAAGAAAACTACATTATCCACTAAACAGCGACATTACAAAATGTAATATGCCATTCATAATTATGAACAAATATATACATTTGCATCTGTGACTTGCTGTAAAATAATTAAAAAAGTTTAATAAATAAATAAGAAAATTAATAAGCTCCTCATCAAGATTTTACATACTTATACGCATACATACATGTACCATGCGTGTACTTGTATTAATACTCATAATGTCAATTATAATTATTCACTTGATACACACATTTAGAATACATGAATGTATGCTTTAAAATAGAAATCGTTAACGAACAAATTTAGTATTTTGATAAACGTCTGATATAGTTGGCGGCAATAATGTGAGTCATAGGTGTTGATGACGTTGCGATTGGTATCAGACGTTCTCACCACGCACTTAGCAGAGTATTTATAATAATATATACATATTTTAAATAATTTCAATTCTAATATTATACTTCCTTACGTTAGATATATTCCATAAATGTTTGTATTTTTGGATCGAGATACTAAAATATAGCCCCTAGCAATATATTTGTAAGTCAGGATATGTTTCGCTTATGTAGATCCTACTCTTATAAATTTAAAATATTGATCACAAAAGTGTGTAAATAGATATACACCATTTATATATTTTATATGAGTTTAGGTTTGTACATACATAGATACATATGTATACCATGTATAGCATAATTACACTGCTAATGCAAAATGTTGATTAAAGGACTCAGTATCAATTGTATTAGTGCTATAGTAATTAATATATAGAGATAAATACATTATGTTTATGAAAGTGCTTTTTTTGAAACATTTATTGGTAAATGTTTAAAATATATGTATGTATGTATATACATTAACAACAATAAATTTCATTTATTTCTAAAATTTCTTTGACTTATAACTGCTTCTTATATTTTTGATATATTCACACAGATAGATACTTCCATACTAATGCCATATGTGTATGATTGTAATTTCAGATTGGGAAATAATATTTTTGTTTTTGCCAAATATTCCTTAAGATTTCTCATATGTAGCAGCAAATGCATTTAATATGTACATGCATATGTATGTATATATGTGTATATACATACAAACGCAGCTATAGATGCCTATGCTAAAATAATATAAGGGAATTGTACACGTAGAAAAGCTTAAAATAAAACATTGAAATTTATTAAGTTTGTGGAAAACTTTTAAAAATAGATTTTCCTTATTCACCAAAGCTACCACTTTCGATATTTTAACTTTAGTTGTTATAATCTATTCAAATAATAAGGAAATAAATAAAACTTATGAGTAAGATCATGACATTTTTTTAATACATATTTATTGTGCTTCTAAATATTTATGGATGAGTAAACGACTATTTCTTCATACACCTCATATAGTTTGGGTGCCAAAGCTTTTTCTCTCAGTATAATATGCCTTAAACGAAGAGAGGGTAAACGAGAAAAAATCAACGAGTCTCTTGAACATTGGCCATCTCTATCTAATAACACAAGATTCAGATACGTTGTGCCGTGTGCACTCACAAATATAGACTACCTGCGTGCAGCAACCTTTCAGTTCATTTAAGATCGTTGCTAATCGAGGAAAAGTACTTTGGCGCGGTGCTCCGATATATTTCACCTAGTTTTAAAAATTAAATAAGAAAAAATTCCAGTTACCTAAGGTATGATTATGAGTTTTATCCTTAAAAAAATATTAATAATTTCACTCGGTTAATAGAAAGTGTTTTTGAACAATAAATGAATTATTCCTGATTGTGAGGAAATTGACTGAATCTATTTTAAAACAAAAAGATTAAAAATGCTCTGATATGATTTATAATTTAAATAAATTAATTTATAGATATAAACATGCCGTTCACACCTGTTGAAACACCTAAATGCCCAAAATGTGGCAAATCCGTTTATGCCGCTGAAGAGAGAGTAGCTGGTGGTTACAAGTTCCACAAAACCTGCTTCAAATGTGGTAAGGCGATCTGACTCAACATTGCTGATATATGTACAAACGTTTAATTGATTCTATTTCTATTTTTTTCAACTTAGGAATGTGCAACAAAGCTTTAGACTCCACGAACTGCACTGAACACGAAAAAGAGCTGTTTTGCAAAAACTGCCATGCCCGTAAATATGGTCCAAAGGGTTATGGTTTCGGTGGTGGTGCTGGATGTTTGTCAATGGATACTGGAGCACATTTGAACAGAGAGTAAGTATATTTCACTATTCTTCATTCTTAACTTTGTACATAAATGATGAAATTTGTCACTATTTTGGAGCTATTTGTAAACCTAATATAATACATTGTACAAATATCATAACTTTATGTATTTATGCGTGTTTTTACGAAATGTGGCAAGAAAATGTTAAATATCGAAAGCTTAAAGCTAACCATAGAATATTGTATTTAGCGAATACACATATCTTAATGAAAGCTTTAATTGTATGCACAATGTATACAATATATGCTACATTATTTTTACACATTTGTGTACATACATATATGCAATGTAAGTAAAAAACGGCAGAAGTATTCATGTAATGCATGTATTTGTTTTCCACACATTTTCTATAAATAGATTACTTCTAATTTCTTATGTATGTATGTATATACATATGTATTTTTACATTTTGTCATTAATCGAAAACTAGTTTCGTCCATCCATTTTCATTTAAAAAACTATTGTCATAAACGAATATTCGTAATACTATATATAAAAAGTCCATACGAGTATTTCAACCAAATAAATTTCTAACTAAGTGATATTTTTTTCACTCTAAGAATGTGTGTATATGCGAAAATACTCACAGATGTATTGGCTTGTAGCACTGAATGGTACACTTACATATTATATACATACATATATGAATATGTGCTAGCTGTATTTAGAAAACATACAAAACACTGTTCTTCATTTCGATATTCTCCCATTGTAAACTACTGTAGATATTCGGAACACTTTCGATGCGATATTAATAATGTGTAAATATGCAAATATCTAGAGTCATAGGAATAATAAAAGGAATAAATTTTCATTAATATTAGTTATTTTTAAATAAATGAAAAGAAAAGTATATTTTCATGCTTGTGCCTTAGCATAAACGTAAAAACTTATAAAAGTTCACATTAAATTTCAAAAATAATTTCAAAATGCCTATGCGTCATGCTTTAACTTTATTTTAGAATATTTGAAAACACATATGTTTTCCTTAAATTCAAACATATTATTATTTTTTCATATTATCGCAGCAACTAATTTACATGGCGAAAGATAGACGCAGCGATGGAGTTCAGGATACAAATGTTCTGTCGTGTTAATGTGAACACCTTTCCCGTTTAAATAGTCTACTACATGTTCCAATGTTTTATTACATGTCGCCTCGAAATGATATTAATAATTGTTTTTTTTTTTTTGTATTGATGAATATTTCATAAATATATGTATGTCTGTATTTGTGAAATGTTATTAAAAAACTATAAATAAAAATAAAAATGGATTTTATTTACGAAAAAACTTGTATTACACATTATTACAATGGGAGATAGATATTATTTTTAAATAAAACGCTGATTAATCCAAATATTTATATGTATGTATATATGTACATGCATATATGTTATTGTAACCAAGGCATTTTTTCTAATATGAGCAAAAGAAAACTAACAAAATGCCTATGTACATAATATACCGTTGGTTATTTAATTTTATAATTTTTCGGATTTCATCTAAGGTGATATCATCAAATCATTATTTATATTAATATTATAATTTTTAACTGGATCTTAATTTATATAAGTATGTACATACAAGGTGTGCCGGAGGATCCATTACCATGGAGCAGTTATAGCCTTTGATGGTAGCATTGTAGATTCTTATATAAAAGTAATAATGTACAACCAACTGTTATGCTAGTATTGAGAGTAGTATTTTGTTTACTTCCTTAACGAAAAAACATATTAAAAATGTTCCAAAATGTTTAATGTATAAATTATGAAGTGAAATAAGTAAATCAAGTAATAGGACTTAACAAAAATGCAAAAGCAATTTTACGTGCTTAACAATGTAATGTAGATGCATGTAATCGTTCTTAAAATATTAAAAAGTTTTTTGTGAGGGTTATTTTATGSCAATACAAATATAAAAAATAATTTAATTAAAAGCATTTCTTTAATATTTAATTATAGTGACATTGATGGTGTACGTAATGGTGCCCGCTTAGAGCCACGAGTAATTGCCAAAGCTCCAGAAGGCCAGGGTTGTCCCAGATGCGGTGGTTACGTATATGCAGCCGAGCAAATGTTAGCACGAGGCAGAGTAAGCTAATTAAAATCAGTTGGTTCTATCATTTTTTTAAATAAAGAATCAATTATTTGAAATTACACTAAAATAAAAGCAGTGCATAAGCTTACTAAAACAATCAAAATCAAACACGTAAACATATGTACATATATTAATATGTACCATCATAGATTTTAAATCTAATATAACATTTAAATCGTTTATTTACATTGAACATGTCAAATAACTAGGGATATCATAGACGATGCTTCAAATGCTTGCTTTGCAACAGAACACTCGATTCTACAATGCATTGCGATGGCCCTGACAAAGATATATATTGCAGAGGTATACATTTAAATAATGTTAAAATCAGTGTCAATTGTTTCCTTTAGATTGCGATTGTTTTTAAATTATAATGATATACGTTCATAATATAAATGTGTGTGTTGAGAAATATCCCCCGCTGAATTATACCAAAACATCCATAATTTTATGCGTATATAATATTTGTATGTTAAAAGTGTTTTAATTGTATATTTTAAAGAGGTATTATTGCAGTTTTATATGTAAATGTTTTCTAAACACATACACGAAGAAATTACTGCACCTCATATGTCAACCATTTGGAAAATATATTAACGTTAACATGCAGTTTATGAAAATATTTTGTTTATTTAATGATATCGTTATTTTAAAATTGAAATACTTAAAACCAATCATTTAATAAATCAGCTTTTAATATCAGACAATTTGGAAGCTATTGCTAATGCCACTAATAAGCAAATTTCAGTGCCAACCAGCCATTATAACCCTATATATAGCTAAAAAATAATACATTCATAAGCATCTACCTTTATAAGTAAATAGATTCACACGGCACTCCAAGGGTAAATAAATTCCTTTTTCATTTCATAATTAACCTTATATTTTTCAACAGCAATGGCACAAGGAGTGTTTTAAATGTGGAAACTGTTCCAAAGGACTTGATTCCATACTTTGTTGTGAAGGTCCAGACAAAAATATTTACTGCAAAGGTATTATTTAAATAATATTGCATACAAATTTTCACAAATAGTTACATTCAAATAAAAAAACAGAGTGACTTTTTATATTTCTCCAGCTATGTACATATATACATTCAAATTTCAATTATTAATTAGTCAGAAATAAATGTACACAGCAATAACTGCTTATATACATATACAAATTTCATCATTCGATTGTGACAGACAAAATTGTTAATCGAAGTTTCCACGCACTTCTCATTTTCTTTGACATAACGTTTCCAAGTTAGCGCAACGAGCGCCTGTAGAGGCATTCAACGCTGGATTTCTCTCACCCTTCTTGTAGCTTTCTACTATACACTTTTTTATTTGAAGCAGACTTCTCGTAAGTCACTGTAAAAGTACGTTAAATATATTTAGCTGGACAAATGTTTAAGCACACCTAAAATATAAATTAAATGTACATGTATGCACATTTACATTCCGCCCAAAATCTTGTGTTTTCCCAAAATTAGCTTGTTATGCAAAGAAATTCGGACCTAAAGGCTATGGATATGGTCAAGGCGGTGGAGCTCTTCAGTCCGATTGCTATGAAAATGGGTAAGTTTTTAACAGCATGCTAGCATCTGATGTGATATTTATATGTATGTTTCTATATATATGTATGTACGTAAGTATATATCAGAATGAGTTCAAGTTAATGTAAGGGGGTAATATCTACACATAAATAAGTACATTTTAGTGTTGTTACCCAAGACTTAGCAATTTAAATTTATCAATATTTGTTTTTGATATTATAATAAATACAGGGTGTTATGCTCAGAAGTTTGGCGCCAGGGGTTATGGTCATTTAGGAATTTCTTCTATGGGACTTATGTCTGACATAAGAGACGCCGAGTGGCAAAGGTATACATGCCTACATGTGTAATTTTTTATTATCCGTAGTACATTCGAATGATTAAAAGAAAAAGATAATAACTTAAACCGAACTTGCTTCCACTGATGGCAAAGTCAAAATATTTCTAAAAATACAATTAAAGTTAAGAACATATGAATTAAAACATGAATAATGTTCTTCTTAAGTATCTCTATATATAATTTTTGTTAATAAATTTTATAATCCATTTTTACATATTTTCTTATTTTTTAAATATATATATTTATGTATGCATATATGTAAATGTCTTACAGCGACTTGGCACCAAAAGTAGCAGATATAGATGTTGGAAAGATACAAGCACCTGCCGGTGAAGGTTGCCCACGATGTGGTGGCGTTGTCTTTGCTGCTGAGTTGGTTCTTTCGAAGGGACGCGAATGGCATAGGAAGTGTTTTAAATGCAGAGATTGCACAAAGACATTGGATTCTATCATTGCATGTGACGGACCCGACAAAGAAGTTTACTGTAAGACTTGCTATGGAAAAAAATGGGGCCCTCATGGTTATGGATTTGCATGTGGATCCAGTTTTTTGCAAACTGATGGCATGACGTTAGTAACAATGTTTGATTAGTAGCCATGAATATTTATAAACTATACAATTTTCAGTGAAGAACAAATTTCTTCTCAGCGTCCATTTGTATGCCCTGACACCACGTCAATCAAAGCACCTGAAGGTGAAGGTTGTCCACGTTGCGGTGGCGCCGTTTTTGCCGCGGAGCAACAACTTTCTAAAGGCCGTATGTGGCACAAAAAGTGCTACAACTGCACTGAATGTCATCGACCATTGGACTCGATGCTTGCTTGTGATGGGCCAGACAAGGATATTTATTGTAAAGCTTGTTATGGAAAACGTTTCGGTCCTAAAGGATTTGGTTATGGACACGCACCAACGTTGGTGTCCATTTCCGGTGAATCCACAATCCATTTGTAAGCTAATATCATATAAAAAACTAACATATATATATATATATTTTTTTTTTTTTTTCAGCCCTGAGGGTAAGCCGTTAACTGGGCCTCGTTCATCAGGTGGTTGTCCGCGGTGCGGATATGCCGTTTTTGCCGCGGAGCAAATGATTAGCAAGAGCAGAATTTGGCACAAGCGTTGCTTCCATTGCGCTGACTGCAGAAAATCTCTAGATTCAACAAATTTAAATGATGGTCCGGATGGTGATATTTATTGTAGAGCATGCTATGGTCGCAATTTCGGACCTAAAGGTGTTGGTTTCGGTCTTGGTGCAGGCACCCTTACAATGACATAAAGTACTTTTCCATATATATTTACATACACACACATAAATAAATACATATATGCATGCATATACATAATATTATAAACATATATATGTATATATACATGTTGTGTGTATATTTAAATATATGTAGAATATTATTGTGTATACATATAAAAACTAAACTATAATTAAAATCGAACTTAACGAAATGACTATAATTTTCAGCACGAAGTAGGTATTATATAATTAAAAACCGACAAAAATAACTAATCGATCTTTTTAAACGAAAAMTCGCGCTACAAATTAGTTTACATCGAGGACGAAGTGCAATTCATTTTATATTTATTAATTTTTAGATAAATTATAAAAAAAATGTGTATATATTGAGATGTTTATATTTAAACATCACATATTTATTTTTTCAATTCATTCAATAACTTTTTGACACTGTTCTTATCTAAATATTACCGTGTATCAATAATTTGTAAGAAAAATGTTGAAATAAGCTATTGATTGACTTGATTAATAAAATATGTATATACACAATCATTTTCGAATACATACTCTATATTTAGAATTTTTGTAATAAATGACAACAAAGGTGTATAAATGTACGCATAATTGAAAAGTTGTAGCCAAGTATTTATGTATATTAGTGCCTTTTGTATGATTGTGCGTATTTGAGAACAAAATAAATAACGAAGAACCCTAATCTTTTTTGTATAGAATAGAAGATATTTGTCTAAATATTTTTTCTGGTGCAAAACACACACTAATTAGCATCAAAGAAAGAGATCAAACTTCTCACAAACATGAAAAGGTTGTGCCCAGGTCCTGACCGAGGCAAGGGTAATTTAAACAGAAACAGAAAATTGGCCCATTGACGACATCTTCTCCACCGTAAAAATTATGTTCATCACTTTCAATTACAAATTCTTCAAATTTGTTGCCATCGCGAAATATCAAGGATCATGCTAACTAACAATTTATATGAAACACTAGTAGCATCGAGAAGCTCTGGCGCCAGAGAGCTCCATGCAAGTGCAGTGGCACACCGAGTAATATCGATTCAGGCACCCATGAAAATGACAGAATTATCATTATCAACGAAAGGTCGGTGACCTGTGTGATAACTCACTAGAGAAACACAACAGAAGCATTAAATTCACAGCTTATATGGCATGGAGTAGCAATCGGTACAAAAATTGGATTAGATGAAATCCTACGTCTTGACTAATTTCAACCAAATGCATGATATAATCCTCATATTTTTAGAGTCGAAATTGAACTACAACAATGCCTCCTTACCATATACTTACATAAATCAAGCATCAACGCAGATGTCGGAATGAAACTTTGGCAAAATAGTCTTTCGATATATTCTATTGCATAAAAAATATCGAATTCGGCCCATAAATCTTAAAACTATAGGCACTGACAGAAGCCCTCTACTCGCCCCCAACAATATTTATGAGCTACTCTATTTATTAATTCATACGCTCAATTTAGTGATAGGGAGTTAAAAGTACCGCAAAAAAATTTAGTTTTTTTTTCGAGCAGGACTCACAACAAATAAACAAATAATATATTTCGTGTTTGATATTATTAGTTATATTAAATAAATGTACTGTATTATAATGCAAATTTGTACACAAATATATGTATGTACAACGTTAGCAGTTTAGCGAAACCATACATCGATTCAATAACAATGGTATTGTAGGACATTGTAATCGATTTTTGCACTGAAAAATGCAGTTATGTGAAATTCCCATTCCTAGGAATAATCAGTAAATACATATAAGTATGTTTATTGTGGAGATCTACAAGGATGGTGATTTACCTTTATAAATGCCTTAAAATATTAAAATTTTTAATGTATGTATATTTTTACAGAGGAAAATTCTGCGATTGAGACGTTGGATTTTATTCATATTAACAATATTTTTAACTACAATTAATCTACTGTGGACATTTTGTTTACTGGACACAGAAATAAATTCGCAACGAATCAATAAGTCATTTAACAGAAATTCAAAGCCGTTCTTGGCAATAGAAAGTGTCAACGATGCCACCATGCCACCGCTCAATCAATCATTGTTACAGAAAATGCCGAAGCATAATTTTAGGCTTGCTTTCGATAATATAAGCTTTGAAACTGGTAGATGGGACAATCTTCGCAATTATAAGATGTTTGATTTTGCTTTGATTGGAGATAAATTTATCAAATCTTCGCACGAAAACATTGTATGTTTAGCTACCCAAAGTTCAGTGGAACGGTTGTATTCATTGACACAAGTTGCACATCAATGGAACGGGCCAATTTCAACCGCCGTGTACGTTGCCGGAGATGAAGAATTCTTCATTTTACAACACTTTGTTACATATATGAGACTTTGCTTCTCATTTATACGCGATAACGTTACTTTTCATATTGCTGTTCCAAATAATAAGGAACCAGTTCACGGACAAATTCCTAATCTCTTCAACAGCTTTGATTGTCAATACCCTGAACAAACGCTTCGCCATTTACTGAAAATACGCAATCCAGACACGATACGTTGGCGTTTAAAAAATGAATATCCGCAAAACCATTTACGGAATTTAGCTCGAAAAGGTTGTCAAAATAAATATGTATTTCTAACAGATATTGATATAATACCAAGCACAAATATGGTATCATTATTAAATAAATTTCTGCCGTCAGCAAAATGCAGCTATCGTTGCGCGTATGTTATACCAACGTTTGAAATAGACAACAGAGCTAAATTCCCTGCTTCCAAGCCAGAGCTTATGCGTTTATATAGAAAAGGTCTAGCACGCCCATTTCACGAAAAAGTGTTTATTTACAACCAGTACGCGACAAACTTCTCCATTTGGCTTATGAATTCTACCAATGAAGATGAGCGGGCTCATATAAGTCATGTCGTAACAAATTTTGAGTTCTTGTATGAACCTTTTTATGTCGCTTTTGATGATGTCCCTGCCCACGATGAAAGGTTTATAGGCTATGGCTTTACCCGAAATTCACAGGTAAGACATTGACAGTATTATGCTAAACTATCAATATAACTCATTCGGGTTTAATTTTTTTTTAGGTCTATGAAATGTATATTTCTGGGTACACATTTTTTGTGTTATCCCCTGTTTTTACTTGTCATTGGGGATTACAACAAAAAAAAGCGAGACCAGTTTGGCGAGAACAACAAAATAATCTGAATCGAAAGCGTTTTGAGATGTTTAAACATGAAATTCTCGCCCGATACAAAAAGTATTCAAAAATTGTGTTACATTATCTTGAACTCAGGATCTATTTTAATTTACAGGAAGACAACCAGGAAATAATTGGCATAGTGGAAGTAAACTGGAAATAAGTGTAATGAAATTTTTTTATCGATATGAATTTCATGATAATAACATTCTATAAACCTTAAAACACTTCCACATGGGACCATACCTCAGCCTACAAGTATGCATTCATATTTCTGCAGTTGTTTTAAAAATCAATCCAATTATTAATACTATTTTAATATTACATGTCCAAACTTCTGGAACTTCTTTTTTATAAAATAAAAAGCGATGGTTACTACCAAGAAATTTTATTATGGTATATACGTATTAAACGCGTTTCGGAATGTAAATTTTATTTAGATGCATTGGTAAATATACCATGTGTTTTTATACCCCTTTATATTGTAAACTGGCTTTAGTATACATTTATAGAATATCGATATTTCAGTGCACAAATGTGTTAAGTAGGCGTATTTTCATAATTTGTTTTTACCATATCCTCGTATATTATAATACTTGAGCTGTTCTACACATTATACGGACAAGTCGCATGCATGTACATTACATTGTGTTTATTGTGTATTGATTTGGATAAGTTTGTCCTATAGGTTCCACGGCAAATGAAGTCACGAAATTTCCGCAAAACTGCTAAACTTGGGCAAATAAATAAATTTAACTTAAAGCAAATGCACCCTGAGGTATCGATATAGTATCTATTGAAACATATTCGTAAGTGCATTTTATTATATTTATGAAATATGAAAAGTATTTAAAAGTTATAATTTCTCAATTGGAATGATTTCGTCCAACTTCCATTATTGGTATATACATAGCTGTTTGAGGGTTTTGATTTCTCCGTTGATAAGATTCATTACCTACACCATTGCTAGATGTGTCATCGGACTAAAATGAGAAACATTGCCAATAATTATAATTATTCAACAATTGATATTAACTCACCATTTGGCAAAGCAGTGGTGACTCATTGCAGCTTGCAAAATCATTTCCTGCAGTATTACGAGTCGCATTATTTTGAGTCCTTTGTATCGTCCGATCTTCATATCTTGTTCGGCCTTGCGATGCCATAGGTCTATTTAGAGTGTTGTTTACATTATTGGGGGAGTTTGGAGAAATGTTATGAGCTGTAAATGATTTTGAAACAAAGTCTTGCTCTTTCCAGCCATTTTTTTTATAAACATCACGTAGCTCATGATGTTGCCACATTGTGAACAAAACTTGACCGGCGAACTTTAATACGCAAGAAGTATATTTTTGACGTTGCTTTGTAATACTTAATAAACGATCAACACCACCGGCGTCCAGTAAAGACCGAGAAAATTCTGGATTTTTCTTTATAACTTCATTAACTGTGGCTAACACTGCGGTAATGGTGTCGTCGGAGGTATTTTGATCGTGCTGTGGGTTTCCAGTAGGGAGTTTTTGGACTAAATCTCGCATAGCATACTTTCCGATAAGCTCTTTGTTCCGTTGATCTATGGCAAGATTTCGTAAAGCTGTTGCCACGGCGCAAACTACGCGATCAACTTCCATACGAAGAAGTTCTACCAATATAGGTAATCCTTTTTCCTTGCGAACTGTAGCCCGAATATCAATACTTGGCTGCCAATAACATGCAGAAAGATTCTGAATAGCTCCTGCAGCCGCTTCTAAAGTTTCCGGATTAGAGCAACTTTGCAATAAAGCTAAATAGTACTGCACAACCTCGGGTTGCCATAAAAGCTCATATCGTTTGTGTGATAAACTATTGGGCACAGAATTTTTTGAAGTACTGGGAGTATAATTATTTTCCATCTGATGTTCGCTTTGAGCAGCTTCCTTTTTCTTTTTACTTGTCCCAAAACAGCCAAGATTTTCTCCTGAAATAATAATATATAAATATAAATACCCAATTATAATGCTGTTGTATTATGTTAAATATTTACCTTTATAAGAGTTGGATGAAGGTCGGCTTTGTATTGGCATTGGCTGTTTATCGTAATTAGGATCCTCAACTTCTTGACACCGATAAGACAAATTGCGTAAAATACATACACAATTTTCTACCGTTTTATTTCCAATGTTATTCTTTTCTATAGCCATTTTCACAACATATATTAGACACTCCACTAGATGTTCAGAGTTTCTAAGACTGGTTCTGGCAAACTCACCAGCAGAGCTGACATTACGTAGAACTCCCGAAGCATTTCGAAAAACTGTAGAGTAGCATGTTTCTCCCGCACAAACCGCATCCCAGCCAGAATGGGGAATAATAATATTACTAACAATTGCATTCAAGCCCTCGTCAATAATAGAACGTTTAATGTCTTCACAAGATGACATATTCCACAAAACTCCAGTGACCAATTCCTTTACCTCCGACTCTTGTGTCCTGCACAACAAATTTACAAGGGCAGTTATACCCCCCGCATTTTTAATAGCTCGTTTATTTTCGTCATTTTGCCTTCCATAGGATAAATTTCGAAGTGCACCACATGCGTTCCTGAAAATATAAAAGTGTTACAA